AAAAAAAAAAAAAAAAGTTTTTTCGCGACAACGGCATGACGGACACCTGTGTAGAGATAAAAAAAAAAAGGACTCGAACCGACGGCTAAGACCATCTACCCAGAACCCGAGCACGACCAACACGTGCGAGACGGTAGACAAAGAAAATTATATCGCTCGGGGCCGACGTTCAACCTCGCCGCCGTCGGCTGGGCATACGACAGCACGCGCTTCCTCCAGCCTGACGGCAGCATCCTGTCTGACCACAACCCCGTCGCCGCCAACCTGACGTGGGCGCTGCCGGCGGCGCTACGCCAGTCGGCCTTCCTCGGCGGGCCGCACGGCGACTGGTCATCCGACGCCGCCGTGCTCGCCGCCCGGCCCTCGACGCCGCGTGCCGCCCGCCTCGCCTTCCGAGGTGGTGCCCGCCTCGACGCCGTCAGCGTGACCCTCGCCGACGGCACGGTCCTCACACGCGGCGGCACCGGCGGTACAGCCTCCGAGCTCGTCCTCGCCGCCAACGAGCGCTGGACCGCCGCCACGCTGTGTCAGGGCAAGCGCAACGACCCGCACGCGCATCTTCTCCATCGAGGCCCGCACCAGCACCGGCCGCACCCTGCGCGCCGGCACCACGACCAGCGAGTGTCGCCAGTTCACGGCCCCCGCCGGCTGGGCCATTGTCGGCTTCCTCGGCCGAGGGGGCGACGAGATTGACCGTCTCGGCTTCCTCTACGCGCGACAGTAAAGGGAGGGATGATCTTCCTTCAGACGCGTCATCATCTTTCTCCTTTGTGCCCGCTTTGTTTCCCAGAGGCTGGCTAGCACCTCCCGCTAGCGATGTTGAGTGTTGGGACACCAGGCGGTGCCGCCACCTCGGCCTCACGGGCCGACACATGTTCAGCGTCGATCAAACATCCGAGAGTGTGAGAGATGGTGCTCCTATCCACATACGCCTCGGTCACTTATTCCGCCCACCAACGCAACTCCTAGTCCTGAGCCCTACTCTTGGCCTCAACACTTCTCTTTTGTCTGTCCATCCATGTTCTGCCCTTGGCTTTCTTCAGACACACCCCCTCCCCCTCCGTCCGCCCTGCCCAAGTGACTGCGACTGCAGTGATATCGACTTGACCATCCCCCAGCTGAGTGGCACGTCTGGCTTCAGGGGCAGGGACATGAACGAAGAAGAAGAAGAAGAAGAAGAAATAAGGCTTAGAAATTAATCCAAGAAATGACCCTCATGCTGAAGACGCCATACGCTTATTGACGATCCCCCGCGTCTCAATGCGCCTCGGGAACCCGTCAATAGGACATCGTCACCTGTCAGTGGTGGTCATCATGAGACATGGATTCATGACAATGGTCCAGCCTCGGTCGTGGGCTGTGTGGTACGAGTGTGAGTAGTATCTAGTCACTCGTTAGTCGCAAACGGTTGAAAAAAGTAGTTTTCTCCCCCAACATGCATCCGTCTCAAAGCCTTCATTGTGGGCTCTGCCCCCTCGGCGTCTGTCCCGCCCACGAAATGGTGTGAAGAAACATCGATCATCTCCCCCACCCCGTACCTACGCAATGCCACGCCTGCCACGCTAGTGATGAAGAAACCCACGGCACACATCGTTGCCGTCTCGCCTACCTACAGTAGCTTCCAGCCGCCCTGATCGCCATGGGGTCGGGCCAGTAGCAGAGCCCGTGGGGTATTGATCGACAGGGCCCCCAGCAAGACCGCGCGCCTCCATTGGCAATCGCCTGTTTTCTTGCTGCCCAGGGCTGCCTCGGGAGTGCGTCGGGACGGCGAGTGAAGAGGGCAAGTGAGTGTGTATACATAGGTATCATCCATGGTAGCACTTGTCTCAAAACACTGCTCCCTGGACCTGGCCCCGTGGCGTCCATGAGGCTACGTTTGAAGCGTGCACGTCGCATGTGATGAGAGGGCCCAAGCGTGTTTTGAGAGCTTCGACTGACGAACCGGCCCTTTTTTCCTTCTTGTTATCTCCGTTGGCGCGTTCAGCGCGGTTGCATCTACAGAACGTTGGTGAGAGAAGAGAAAGTCAGAACGTGCAGGTCAGCATAACATGATTCTAGGTTTGAGAAGCACGCCGGTCCCAAAAAGAACGCCCCCAAGGCGCGCCATTTTGGTAAGCCTCACCCCCGCAGGCCACGGAGCTTCCGAACATGGGCGAAGTCGCTCACTGGCGCTTGTGGATGCATGAAGTTCGGGAACGAGATAAAGGAGGGAGGGGGCGGCGAGAGAAGCCGTACGTTCGGAATCCGAAGCCATCCCGCGCGGCGCCGCTCGATGGCGTGGAGAACCCGCTTAGTATCCATCGTCATGCTCGTGGTGGCTGCAAGCGTGCCGCCTCTACCAATGCGCCAAGCAATGGGCCATGTTCTTTTCGGACCATGGCTTGTATCTATGGATATCCAGACCCTGTCGACAGACTGCGTGTTGTTCGCCCGACAATATCGGCTTTAACGGGTGCGGTGATTATATCCTGCCCAGAAAAAGGTTCCCACACGAAGCGTCGGAATCTTGTGTTCCTGTCATGCACCTGAGCTACCCAAAGCGCCTTAGGTTCAACTTTACACCGCCTGGATAACGTCGCCGAAAGCGCGGTCTGGAGACTGATGTATCGATCGAGTGAATACAGTCTAGTCTGGAGCGTATTTACATGAGGACCAGGAACAGCATCGTACTATCGGGGCTGCAGAGGCACGCCATGTCGATCTATCTGAGGCCATCGATAACAGAAGCTGCATGGCGTTGGCCTGCTCTCTCATCAAAAGTAAAACTTGGAAATATGCCCCCACGTCAATGTGAGAATTCTCGTTACGACGATGAGATTCACTCGATATTTTACCGATCGGCCGCCGGAAACGCACTTCAGTAACCACTGGCGACGCATCTTAGTGGGTCAGATCGGCGACCACGTGAAGCACATAGGCAGAAACAGGTCGCTACGTGTGAGTGTTGGTCCTTGCCGAAGAAGAGCATCTGTCGACAGGCGCCTTAGATGCATCTTGCCCCAATCACGGGATCGTGGGGGGACCGTTGATGGCCACGACCTTATTGAACTTCAAGCTCATACAAGGCCATCGGATATGCAGCTCAGTCTTCCGGGCAGACACGGTCGGTATTGTACACCAAGACATGCAGTTGGCGCAAGAGTACAGACCAAAAAGGAATGCTTGCAAAGGTCAGTCTTGTGTACTTCATGCGTCGTGCTAGGTTTCCATGGCTGCGTTTATGACCGATGACGATATATGCAACATAGTTCAGATAGCTGGAGGAGGCCGATGAATCAGAGAGCCACGTCTTCGTCTGATCAGGCGGACAGAATGGTCAGCCGCAGTAAATTAGAAGAAATCATCACGAATGGTAACATGGCAGCTGCATAGTGTCCGCGTCGCAAGCACGCATAAATTCGGAGGGGTAGGTGCCAATATGAAACGAGCATCCTGTACTGAATACCATCCCCGAAACCCCGGGATTCCAGTCATCAACTCGCGATGGAATAATGTAGACATTTGACAAATGCAGCGAAGCATCATTGCCGGACTCGATTGAGTCCAAGATCAATCCTTGGCTTTGGGGGTTGTTTTGCCGGATTTTCAAGAGATGTTGGGCCGCCAGGAGCCACTCGTTTACGTCCTCTCGACCCTAATGTTTGGGCAAGTACAAACCCGCGTGAACGTGCTATGGCAATCTGGAGTGATCACATCTCGACTCGGTGAACCGACATCGGCCATGATCAGCAAATTGGCCCTTTGTGTTGTTCTTGTGGTCAATTGTTGGGCATGATCCAAGAATGCTGACTCTCTTTCGATGCGGCTGTGTAACAGCCAAGGGAATACTGGGCCAAGACCAACTGACTCATTGGTGCACTATCAACAAACAGTTGCTCGTATAGACGGTTCTGGGACCGCCGAAATCCAGATCCAGGATCCGCGAGAGTATACGTAGTCGCACAAATGAACTAGGCTGTCTCGATGAGTCAATGCACTATTCAGGTACTTGTCAATGACGGTTGGCCTACTTGTACATGTGATAGTGCGAAGCGCAGTGTGGCCCTTTCAAAGGCATACGTAATATGCAGGATTGAGACACCAAGCCAAAAGCCTGGTGGCAATATTTGGAACGCATGAACAGCTCTCACCAGGCGCCGCAGTATTGTGCTACCGAATGCTACAAGTGATGGACTTTTAATATCCTTAGACCCATCGGTGTGCGTATCGGCAGAGGACTGCATTGCAGAGCGTATTCGCTCACGAATTTCCCACGAGTCGCTCGACATCCGGCAAGTCCGGCTCGCGGGCAATCGATCCGCTGGGGACGGGCAACGCAAGGGGAGGCAGGCAGATATTACTCCCGCCCGAGAGGACAACCCTCCGATATCGTGTCGAGGAGGCGTAGGTGCATTGTCCAACGCGGCCGTTCATGTGGCGTCTGCGAAGGTAGACATCGTTCGAGGATTGCTGATCGTGGGGACTGTTCTGGTCGTGATCCAGGCATCGTCGTGTGGGTCGTGTGGTCCAGGCTTGCTCGGCTCAAGGCAGAGCTTTTGCGACAGGGGAACCCTGCATCTTGGCGAGGTATACATGTACATGGCAGTTGGCAGGGACACTCTGGGGAGGGCCTGACCCTGTATTGGCCTGGCCCTGCGGGCGGTTTTCCAACAACCAACGTCATCTAGACGAGAGGGAGCTTTGTTAGACAAAAAAGGCGGCGGGTTCGAGGAGGCCACACTTGTTATGACGAGAAGCCTCCTGCCAATATGTCGATATCCAAAGCATTACAGAGTGCAATGGAGAAATATTCTTCAACCGCCTGCAAAAGTAACCATCCGGCGGAATCGAGTCGATCTTCTCCATTATCCGGTATCCGCATCACTGCAACACTGAGTGTGTTCCAGCTGGAGGGGAATTGCCCTGTTCCCCTATCGGGGAGGTGAGCCGAGAATACTCCCCTATCAACTCATTGAGCGGCCAGCCATCGAAAAGCCATCGGAAGTGCAATCGGTGGCCGGGGTCATTAGTGGCATGCAGGAGCCCAGCCTTGCCAGTGTCCATTCCAGTCGAGGTGCCATCGTGGCAGCTGCATTACCTGCCAACCGAGACGCAGGTAGGTGGCGACTGCGCAGTCGCGCTCTAGACCTGGGCGTGGCGGCCTGGCTGATTGACTTCTCCACGCGTAGACGACGTTGTAGTGCATGCGTGGCTACGAAGACACCGCATTGATGAATGTAGGCAAAGCCATGCATCACCGGATCATGTGTGGTACTGAATTGCTGATTGTACGAGGATACCGGCAATGGCGCCCCTTGACGCGTGTCAATATGGACACTGATTTCCGATAGTTACGAAGGGAGATGCCTGCTCTCGAGAAGCCAGTTTGCATTGACAACGTCTAAGTCTTGAAGCCACTAGTCAGTGACCCCTCGCGCGAGGCGAACAAAGGACGGAAGCAAGACAGGGTCGTTGTCTGCTGGAGGGGGTGCTGTTTCAGTTTATGCCGGACCGATGACGAGAGACAGAATGATCTAGCTGTTGCTTTTCGTAGTATAACACAGTCCAGGACAACATTGCGCTTCCAAGGCGGCGGTGCCTGTGATGACGGCTACAGGGAGAAGGAAGCAGTAGCGTGGCTACAACCGTGGCACTCCATCAGCCAGTCAGTGTATTGC